CAGTAAAAGCAGAGTCAGATTTGGTCATTGCTCAACCAAAGTGAAGCCTGTGACATCGTAGCCTTAACAACCATGACCGTGAAAGCAGCTCTAACTCCAAGTGCCCCCAATTCTGGCTTAACAGATCTCTAAGACCCTACCCCCAGGCATTCGTACCTTGTCAGTAAAGGTGGGGCCCAGGTGCATCTGTTTCTGTCAGGTCCCCAGATACGTATTGGAGAACATGACATTGGCGTCGTTTTGCAATGAGCCTACTCATCCACCACATCAAGCTGAATACACTCAAAGACAGCCCGGGCCAGAGGGGCAGTCGTGCTTGGTCCACCGTGACCTCACGGCATAATTTGAAGTATTCGGAAGGCTAACCCATCTCACTCAGGTACTGGATTCTGATAACTGGGCTTTGAGGACGCCAGGGTATCTCAAGGCTACAATTGAGGACACTGATGACCTGGAGGGGTCAGGATTGTTTCCAGAAACGCTCCACTGACTCCCAAACAGCAGCCTGGGCTGTCTGAATGGAGGCTTCCCGTGGGGATGGGAAAGAATCAGAAACAGTCAAACGTCATCAGTGAGATAGTATTGATAGGTGGCCTTACTAAAGATCCAGTAAAAAGAGCTGATGGCTCAGTAAATATGCCCATTGAAGTTCTCCATTTCTTCAATCATCAGGAAGACATCATGTTCTGTGATAACCAGGGAAACTAGAATTTTCACCGAGCTAGCTCTTCAGGGCTGAAGACTGTTTGGCTAACCTTGAGCAATTCAGTCCGTTAAGGTTACACAGTGAAATCGGCCGGGTCTAGGAGATGTGGGGGAGCATTGTGCCTTGGAACGAACAATAGAATACTGCTCCCGGCTCTTTGGGGTCCTTTATCTGGAGTGCTTGCACCCACACTCTGGGAGGGTAGACTGCGTGGGGACCACCATGTGCTTCTGGCTCCCCAGACAGTTCCATTTCTTTGCCTTGGGTGGGTTTTGTTTGTTTTATTGGTTGGCTATGCGGCCACACCTGGTGGTGCTCAGGGTCTACCCCTGGCTCTGCTGCAATCAGGAATCACTCCTGACATGGCTCTGGAGAATTTGTGATTGATGCTGGGGACCAAACCAGGATCAGCTGTGTGCAAGGCAAGTGCCTTCCCCCCCACCCCCCACCCCGTGCTGTCACTCTAACCCCTGTTTGTTTCAAATGCTTATAAACCAACATAAGACCAACATCTTAGCACTGTAGCACTGTCCTCCCATTGTTCATCGATTTGCTCAAACGGGCACCAGTAATGTCTCCATTGTGAGACTTCTTGTTACTGTTTTTGGCATATCTAATACTCCACGGGGAGCTTGCCAGGCTCTGTCGTGCAGGCAGGATACTCTTGGTAGCTTGCTGTGCTCTCTGAGAGGGACGGAGGAATCGAACACGGGTCAGCCGCGTGCAAGGCAGGCGCCCTACCCCCTGTGCTATTGCTTCAGTCCAAGACCAACATCTTAGAGAAGGCAAAAAGATTCTGCCTGAAGGTTTTTGTCAAAACCTCATTGGATGCTTTGTCTCCACATTCACTGTTTGGAGAGCCCATTGAATTGAGTCTCTATCCACCTCTAGCTTCAAGAAAGCCCCCCATCCTGCCACTTGTTTATAGAACCTGATTTGTTTGTTTGGGGGCCACATCCTACTTAGGTCTTACTCCTGGCTCAGGGATTGAAAGGGGAAGCCTCAGTTCCCCTTGCCAACAAGAGGGGAGCCCAGTTTGCCCTCACCAGCAGTTCCATTTCTCCCCATCGACCCACCCCACCTCATCCCTGAGACCCTATCTTTAACATTCCCAGCTTTCCCCAGGACCATATTGTTCTGTCCCAGAACTAGAAGTCACAAGACTGAGATAATGAACAATACCAGAGGCAGGTGACCAGAAAGACAAAAGACCAAGTGGATGTCAGGTGGGGCTTGACAGCCACCTGGTGGGGCTGGCAAGGAGGTGGGGGGAGTGGGGAGCAGGAGCTCGGACTGTGCCCAGCAGGGGCTTGTTGCAGACTTCACCATTCTTAGTCTCCCTGGGAGGCAGAGATGGGTTAGGATAAAGTGGCCGTCTTTCTCCCCTCCCCGTCTCATGGAAGCCACCTGTGGGGTCTACTGGCATCAGATTGATGCAAAGGGCTTTTGAAAAGACCAACACAAAACTCTTCACTTTTAACTTAGTCCTATACTAAGTGCCTCCCCACATGGGGAGTTCTTTTCACTTTCTCCTTTCCAATAAAGCTTCTCTACTTTCCAACTCCAAGTCTGAGCATCTTTATTATTATTATTATTATTATTATTATTATTATTATTTTAAGAATGAAAATATTGAAGAACCTGGGAATTTCAGAGACCTGCCACCACAACTTCTGCCTCACCTGCATCAGGATCGCTTACTCTGGGCTTACTCCTGGGCCTGTGCTCAGGGCTCCGGAGACCATATGTGATGCAAGGCAAACACACTACCTGCTATACTCTCTCTTTGGCCCCAACATTTGACTTTTACCTGGGTATCATTTAGCTTAAGTCAACTGTCTCAAGCTAATTTGCCCTACCACTCCCTTTACACACAAAAAAGTTACTCAGCACTGAAAAGTTACCCTGTGTGTGTGGGGGGTGACCTGAGTTGCGCAGGAGGAAGAGAGCGGCTTGGAATGCCTTCAAGAGCATTGAAGAAATAACTAAAAGGACAAAGAACCTCCAGCTACGAGCACATCTCTTTGATTCCACTATTCTTCCTGCATTAACATATGCCTCAGAGACCTGGACCCTACGAAAACAGGATGAGAACGCTATTCGGGTCTCTCAAAGAGGAATCGAAAGATCTATGCTTGGAATATCACGATTCACTCAAATGAGAGATAGAATCCGGAGTTCTGATCTTCGTCAACGCTCAAGAATCAGGGATGCTGTCTCATTTGCCAAGACATCAAAAATCAGATGGGCTGGACACGTAATGAGGTTTACAGACAACCGCTGGACTAGAGCCATTACTGATTAGATTCCACGGGACATCAAAAGATCACGTGGACACCCACCTATAAGATGGTCAGACTTCTTCGTCAAGACCCTAAATGATCGGTTTGAGGCTCTGCATGTTCCTAGAATGAACAGATACCATTGGGCTACGCTAGCACGCAACCAGGATGAATGGAGACGTTACTGGCACCCGCTCGAATAAATCGATGAATAACGGGGTTTAAGATAAGTGATTAAGTGTGTGTGGGGAGGGTGGGGTGGGGAATCTCCCTTCTTTAAATGAACAAACGGGGTGTGGTGCCGCCAACAGGTCAACCTGTACCTGTGGGGTGAGTGCATCAGCAGCTTGATGGTGCCTTCAGGCTTCTTGATACCCCAAAGTTGTCGCTGTGCCTTTGGCCAGACCCCCAACAACTTGGGACCAAGTTTACCAAGAAATTAAACAACCAAAAGTTAGGTATGTGGGAACCACATCCACAAACCACTTCTGGCTGAGCTATACAAGCTCATGGCTTTCTCAGAGTTGGGATGGGCTACCTCGCCCCACTCACTTCCTAATACACACAGAAGCACTGGCAGTCACCCCCATCAACCAACTCCAGCGTCACCCTGTAAGCTCAACTACCGGCCTGCTTCAGAAACCCTCAAATAAATCTCGAAAGAGATCAAAAGCCTCAGTTAAGCTTGAACCCATGCATGACTGAACAGACCAAAATAAACAGGAGGAGGGTGGGTTGGCCTGTGACTGCCCAGGCAGAGTCCCTGGCAGCCACTTGCTTCCACAATCCAAAATCACTGCCATATTCCCAGTCTGACTCCACCGTCTCTAGGATAGACCTCACCAAGATATAATCTGCTGAAAATTTTGTAATATGGATCTTAGCGCACCAACAGCCCTGGCTCAGAGACACAGAGGCAAGTCCCGAAAGACACCACAGTGCCAGAGATCCCTCCAGATCCCATACTGAGCCAATATCACCGGGGCACCTCAAACGGAGCAGGTGCAGTCTCCCCACCTACTCCAGAGGGAATCCCAGTGACCAAGAGCTTTCACAAGCAAGGACCAGTTACGCGGATTCAGGACTAAATCTCCAGGCCGCATGGTGGCAGAGGCTGTCCCCTCCCGGGATCCCCTCCCACCCCCCCCCCCCCCCAAGAAGACTGGCTGTCATGCCCACAGTTTGCTTCTGGGTGCCATCTTAGTGCACCAGCAGCCCTGGCCTAGAGACTCCCAGTTGAATCCCAAAATGGATTAGTGCCATACAGAGATGTCTTCAGAACCCAACCATTTACAATCTAGAAATTTACATTTACAATCGTGGTCACACAAATTCTCATGATATTCAAAATGAGCAATGAAAAATAAATTATCTAGTGTCTGGCCCTGGAAGATAGGCTTGAATGGTGGTGGGAAAATTGGAGCAAAACATAATGCCCCAAGTTAGAGAGAGAGTATTGGGGAAATTGTCTGGCATAGAGGCAGGGTGAAGACTGGGATGTGGGGGGATGGGGGATACTGGGGACATGAGTGGTGGAAAATGTGCACTGGTGGAGGGATAGGTGTTCCATCATTGTACAGCTGAATCTCGAACATGAAAGCTTTGTAACTCTATTACGGTGATACAATAAAAAGTAATGTGGAGTTCATGCCCAATTCAATCAGCTTAATCAATGGCTGAACTTAAACAATAGCAGTACTTCTACATTATTAAAAAAAAAAACTAGCAAACAATAAAACATTGCCCAGATGCACCCAAGGTTCGTAGCCTGCCCTCCCCACTACCAGTCCCCCATCATTCTAGCAGCCCTCCCCCAGCCCCCAGGGGAAGTATCACCCACATTAGGAAACAGATTTAAGCAGCTGGAGCACAATCTTGGGAATAAAGGTGGCCAACTCTGAGGATAAGTTCGTTCGAAAAGAGAAAACCACAACCCCGCCTCTCCCTCCAGCCCCTCCGCCCCCCGCCACTCCTCCTTGATTTTAATAAGGCCCCCAGGACTCCCAACTCACTTGCTGATAATGAGCGTCTCCTCTCCGCTGATCCAGACCCTCGTGAACTCGCCGTACATCCGGTTGTAGTAGTTGCAGGCCCTGCCGATTCCCATCCACAGGAACCGGCCATGGGAGATGAGAGGTCCAATGCCCAGACAGTAGCCGGGACCTGGAGGAGACATGGGTTCATGGTCAGGATTGCTGCCACACCCCAAAGCACAGTTGCCACTGCCCTTCCTCTTCTTTAATTTTTTTAAGTCCCCGGGATTTACAACACTGTCCATGTATGCAGTGTTCTAGCTCTGCACCCTCTCCCAGGGTTGACCTCCCTCCACCACTCTCTCAAGGTCCTCCACCCCCAAAGTCATCTCTGCCCACCCCCATCCCCACCACCCCCCTGTTATAGTAAACTCAGTTCTCTTTTTTTAGCTGTTGCCTTTGGCCATAAAGGAGCACAAGAAGGGGTAACAACACGTTTTCTTGTCCATCTCTATCTGTATGTCCTTTTAGATCTTCTGCCGTGAATCTGTGAATCACTTGAAGACAGTGACCGGAGCTTCCCTGAGCAGATCTGAGCTTCCCCCCACCCCTCTGCTGCCCGACACCCCCATCTCCCAACCTGGAGTGCCAGGTTGTTCAAGGGCCCACCACACATGATCTATTTGCTCTTAGCTTTTCCAATCCAAATGAAACACAGTGTGTCTGCTATTTCCTTGCCCAACTCAGTGGTGATGATAAGCTTCAAATACAAGTCCATCCACCTCGTAATGAGGCTGCAAACCAGGGTGTGTCACATGGTGGTGAATCTGTTTGGCTACCTAGTTTTCCTACCTAGTTTTCATTTTGGTTTGAATGCCCCAGAAGAGGGAAGGGGTAGGTTAGAATTAGAAGACTGTTTGCATTTGGCCCCTAAAACCCCAGCAGCCGCCAACTTCCAGAACCCAATGAGAAGCGCAGGTACACAGGTTCAGTGACTGCAAACTCCAGGTCTCAAGGGGTGGGAGAGGATGGGGCGGTCCCTCTCATTCTCCCCTGCTCCTCCCCATGGGACCCTGGAAGTCACACCCACAAACTGCCTCCCGCTGCTACTTATGCTCTTAAACATCCATGATCCAGAGACACACAAAAGAATCTCCAAAACTGAGCAGCACATTGCAGATACTTCTCCAGACCCTAATTACCTATGATTTTAGAATTCCAGGAGCACGCAGCCACTCTGGAGGCCATGAGACATCTTATGCTTATTATGCTCATTACATAACAAGCAATACAAAAGAGAGTATGGGGGAGGCTGCTATAGAGGCAGAGGGAGGGGTGTGATGGGGGGATACTGGGGACATTGGTGGAGGAAGATGTGCACTGGTGGAGGGATGGGTGTTCCATCATTGTATGACTGAAACTCAAACAGGAAAGCTTTGTAACTATCTCATGGTGATTCGATAAAAAAAAAATAGTAAAAATTACTGTATCACTGTCATCCCGTTGTTCATTGATTTACTCGAGTGGGCACCAGTAACGTCTCATTCGTCCCAGCCCTGAGACATTTTAGCAGCCTCTTTTTTTGTTGTTATATTTATTTATTGAATCACTATGGAAAAAGTTACAAAGCTTTCAGGTTTAAGTCTCGGTCATACAATGATCAAACACCTTTCCCTTCGCCAGTACTTATTTTTCACCACCAAGAACCCCAATATACCCCCTCTCCCACCCCTCCGAATGCCTGTGAGGCAGATGATTTCTACTTAACTCTCTCTCTACTTTGATTACATTCATTATTTCGACAAAAGTTGTACCATTGTTGTTGAGAGTTTCTGCCCAGCAATCAGAACTGCTGAAAAGGGATTGTGAAATAATTTGTTTTCTATAGCTGTTTATGAGAACCAAATGCTGTCATTTTGGATTTCTGATATTTTACTAATTAAGTCTGGAGGGATTTCTGCCAAGGGCCAGAAAATTACGAAATTGATTTATGTGCCTCTGGAGCCATGGCCGTGCCGGAGAGCCGCTCGTGGGGGGGCAACTCATGACCTCGGTAGGGCATGAAGGACAAGCCAGTACCATCCCCCTTACCATGCGACCAGCCTCTCTTTACTTGTCTTTCCCAATGCTGCCGATTTGGAAGCTCTTTCAGGGTCAGGGGAATGAGACCTGTTATTGTTACTGTTTTTGGCATACTGAATATGCCATGGGTAGTTTGCCAGGCTCTGCTGTGTGGCTGGAATACTCTCAGTAGCTTGCTGGGCTCTCCGATATATATATATATATATATATATATCTTTATATATATATTTATATATATATTTCCCTCTGATTTGTTGCCTATTGTCTGAACCCCATCAAATATGGTGTGGTAGTTATGGAGAATGGGTAGGGAGTGTCTTATGATGTGTCGTGCAGCCATGAAAGCAATAAAAATAATAAAATTAAATTAACATTCAGAATAAAAAAAGAGTGTTTGGGTTATAATTGTTTTGTTTTCATAATGCTCCCCCCATCAGGGCTACAATGAGTAGTTCTGGGGAAGAATTGGGGGGATGTCACATGTGCTGGGGTTCCAACTCAAGGCATTGCACATGCCAGGCATGTACACTGCCACTTGACATATCTCCTCAGCCCAAGTAGAATCTTTTTTAGCTAAGAGAAACATGTTCTGCAAACATAACACCCAAATAAAGATCAATTTCTTTTTTTCCCCCCTTAGCCCTCCCCGCCACCACACACACACAGTTAAAGAAAAAACTGTGGGTTGGAGAGATTACTTCAGGAGTTAAGGCATTTTCCTGGTGCATGGCCACTAAACCTGGTTCCATCCCCAGAGCTGCTTTTGGTCCCGCTGAGCACTGTCAGGAGTAAGCCCTGAGCCTAGCTGGGTGTGGTCCCAACACACAAAGAAAAATGGAGACGAATTTTGTTGTTCTTGGTGTATTTGGGGAGGGTGTGTGTGTGTGTGTGTGTGTGTGTGTGTGTGTGTGTGTGTGTGTGTGTGTGTGTGGATGAGTGGGGAAAGTGGCACACCCAGCTGCGTCTTCAGGGGTTATTCCCAGCGGTGCTCAAGAGGAAGATCCATGCAGTGCCAGGATTGAGCCCAAGCCTCCGGCATGCAAAGCATGTGCTGCAGCCCATGCTTTTAGTTTAAGAATATTTAACTAAATCTCACTGGCAAAATAAAGCTGAGAAGTGAGAAGGAGGCAGTGAGTCAGATCAATGTCTGGCTGAGTTTGAGTTAGATCCGGGGCTTCTGGGGAGCAGTTGCCATCTATACCCTTGCTTTGACGATGGCCACTCATAAAGAACAAGCAGCCAGGGTGCATCTGGGGATTTGTTGTTGTTTCTGAGAACGAAGCTCAGAGCTCTATTTTCCTGCTGGTGGTGAGAAGCTAGACAAAGATCCTGGAATAGTTTTAGGAGTTGTGCTGTAGAACTGTTGCATTCCTAACTCCTCCTCCTTCTGTTCTAAGATGGTTATGAAGTAATTACACTCATGATTACAGGAGACAGTAGTGCGACTCTACAGTGAGGTTGTATTACCTAGAGAGCCTGTATTTGGATTTTCATTTGGACTCTTAATCAGCTCAATTAAGAGTTTTACATCTCGGTTGTTTGGCAAGTAAGACTCCATCCCTAATTTCTCATTAACTAGTTAAATGTGAACAAAACTGCCAACTTGCCCATCTCACACCACACACACACACACACACACACACACACACACACACACACACAGTCTTTAAGGAGATCTCTGGTAATATTTACAGAACCAACACATTGTAAATGGCTCCAATAACATACAATCATAAGTAAACAACTGACTTTATATTAAAATCATTCTATTAATGGCCAGGGAGAGAGTGGTTTAGTTGCTTGCTTTACACACAGCCAGCCCAGATTTGATCACAGGCACTACATACGTTCCCCTGAGCACTGCATGTGTAAGCTCTGAAAACACGTCTCCCCACCCCCAAATAAAAGACCTTTTCAACTAGAAGATATGATTGAAATTATGTATTTCCTGGGCCAGAGAGATAGTACAGTGGGTAGGGCACTTGCTTTGCACACAGCCAACCCAGGTTAAATTCTCCGGCACCACATATGGGCCCCTGAACTCTGCCAAGAGTAATCCCAGAGCCAGGAGTAAGTGCTGAGAACCAGGGGGTGTGGCCCCAAATCCAAAAAAGCAAAAAATATTTTCTTAAAATGTCAATAGAGATACTGACTGCTAATTAGCTGAAATATGCACAATCAAAAAATACTTTGTTGGAGATTTACAGCCTTAAAACACAGTGGATTCCCAGTAAATGTTTCCTGAATACATCCTTTTTTTTTTTTTTGCTTTTTGGGTCACACCCGGCAATGCACAGGGTTTATTCCTGGCTCATGCACTCAGGAATTACTCCTGGCAGTGCTCGGGGGACCATATGGGATGCTGGGAATCAAACCCAGGTCGGCTATGTGCAAGGCAAACACCCTACCCGCTGTGCTATCGCTCCAGCCCCCATCTTTTTTTTTCTTTTCTTTTTGGGTCACACCCCGGCGTTACACAGGAGTTACTCCTGGCTCATGCACTCAAAAATTACTCCTGTCAGTGCTCGGGGGACCATTTGGGATGCTGGGAATCAATACTGGGTTGGCCGTGTGCAAGGCAAAAGCCCTACCCGCTGTGCTATCACTCCAGCCCCACCTGAATACATCTTTACAGATAACCAGATGTGTATTTTTAATATAAAGGGAAAAGGTTGCAATGTCATTCTTAGAGTCTTTTAGGCTGTATTCATATTTCGGTACAAAAACTCAATACCATCATTCTGTCACATCCGTGCAGCCCTTGGAGAATAGACTCATTCATCGTGTCCTGTCTTGGCACACAAGCCCTCAGGCGGCAGTGACACAGGGAAAAGACTGGCCTGTCCATTCTTTACCCCAAGATAAAGAATGCCAAGTTGAGTCTGACTATTTGGGAAGCACCATTCCAGTTCTGGCCAGGCCAATGGGAGCTGTGGACAGGGGCAGCGAACTCGGCCAGGGCTGAGAAACCCCGTGCTTGAACCTATTGGGAATCAGCGTTTGGGTCCTGAATGGGCACATGTCAGGTTAATTCACGCAGGAAATAGAGAAATAGGTGCCACGTAGGACCGGGGGTGGTTTGACAAATACAACTCCCATGTCTGGAGCAACTGGGCATCCTGGGCCAGATGGGGGGTCAGGGGGCAGGAGAGGGGCAGACAGACAGACAGACAAGGGTGGGAAGCACAATAAAAACATGATCCAATAATGTTCCTGCCCTGTGCTCCTTTGCCTATCACGTGCATCTTCCAGCCTCGGGCCGGAGCACTGGCCGTGCGGGAGGAGAGGGGCTTTGGGGGAATGTAAGGGAAATGCCTTTCTGCAGGCGCATCAGGTCTGGCTGTCTCGGAGCTGAGAACGCTTATCTAGGCATGAAGTCTTTTTCACACCCTCAGAGGAGCAGTAAATACTTGGGAACATTTTTTTTTTTTTTGGTGTAGCTGTGGCCTCCGGGGCGGCCAACAGCTGGTGCCCCTCCCGCACCATCCTAATCAGGAAACCGCTGCATTCCAGACTCCTACACCCTGGAGCAGCACGCAGCACGGTAGCCTAGACGGGAGACACCCCAGATGTCTGTGGCGCGTGGGCTGGCGCACTGCGCCCAGGGATGTTCCCTGTGAGCTCCAGCTGCGAGCGGGGATGGAGAGCGAGCAATGAGACCCAGGGCTGCTGGATTCCGTTCGTGCACCATCGGGAGGCAGGCAACAACCAAGCCGTGTCGTTTGGGGGCTATGAGATTAGGTGGCGAAAATGCAGGTTGAGGGGAAGCAGCAGCAGGGGGTGGTGGTAGGGGTAACTGTCAGGAAATCTGGAAGGTTCATCTACAGGGATGGGAAAAGGCACAAGAGGAAGCCCTGGGTCGCTGCCCCACCAGCCTCTCTCTTCCTCTGAGTTGGGATGGCTTCTTGACCAACGTCATTTTGGGGGGGCGATGTGTCTTCCACATGGAAAGGCAGGTGTGTGTGTGTGTGTGTGTGTGTGTGTGTGTGTGTGTTTGGTCGTATCCTTTCCTCGCTGTCCCCCACCTCCAGGGCCAGTGCAGAGAGGAGCTCAGGGGAGGAGGTTTCCTCTGCAGGGTCCTCAGGGAAGGGGATAGTGGCAGATGCCAAGTACCCAGAGGTGTTGTTCAGAGCTGTGTGAATGGGAGTAGGGGGCTCCCCAGAACCCTGGAGAGATTTCCATGGAGAGCCCTAATAGCTAAGACTCTTTCCTCCACTATGTGCAGTTCCCCTCCTCTACTTTCCTTGTTCGAACCTTTTTTGTTTGTTTGTTTTTTGCCCCCGCCCACTTTCCTTGTTAGAACCTTTTTGTTTGTTTGTTTTTTGCTTTTTGGATCACACCCGGCAATGCACAGGAGTTACTCCTGGCTTTGCACTCAGGAATTACTCCTGGTGGTGCTCAGGGAACCCTATGGGATGCTGGGAATCGAACCCAGGTCAGCCACGTTCAAGGCAAGCGCCCTACCCGCTGTGCTATCGCTCCAGCCCCCCACCCTGCTTTCCATGGCAGCTTCCTTCCCCAGAAAGTGAGCTCACGGAGCTGCTCTCCCCGACGACCTCTAACCCCGTGGCCAGCCGAAGGGCCTTTCTACATCCTGAACTCCCCACAGCAGCTCCTTGCCTCCCTTCAGCGCCCGCTGACACTGAGCTTCCCCTGAGCTGTGTGAGGCTCAGGGAAACTTCGCCAGAGGAGAACAAGGGACCAGTCAGTCAGAGCCGGGCCCTGGGAGTCTGTGCCACCCTGTTTAAGGTGGGGAGGGGATGTGATAAAAAGCTTCCTGGCCAGCAAGAATAAAAACTGATTTGGGGTTCAGTAAATTCTAGCTTTCACCCCCCCCCCACACACACACACAAGCACCCACACACACCCAAGCACCTTTCCCCCTTTTCTCCCAGGGTGCCAACATGCAGTTTCCCTTTTCTGGGCTCCAGGCCTGCCCAGCTAGGTGGGCCCCGGGCTCCCGTGGCTTCTGCTTGTCCCCAGAGTTCGCCTGGGCAGACACTGCTCTGGGACTCCGTTTCCCCTTCTGCCTGGGAAGGGTTGGTCTCCTGTCGACTGGGCTGCTAGGAAAAACCCACCTGCTGCCAGGAGTAGGTTGGAGGCAGCAGGGGGCATGTGAAAATGTCCAGGCCTGGCCATGCGTGAACAGCGGAAGCAGCACTTTGACTCAGCCTTGGAACTTCACACTCCCGTGTGACCTGGGAATCTGGGAAGCAGCTGCCATTTTAATGTTTTTTTTTTAAATGTGTCAGCATAGGAGCCCACTTCAGACTGGGCTGAGAACCCCTGGGCAGCCTCCTGTCCAGGATTCCTCATCCCAGGGCCTGGGAGTTTTCATCACATCGGCAGCAGAAGCATCTCCAGAGGCTTGCCAGGCTTATCAGCCCTGCCCCCAGTCCCTGTCATCTCCCTTCCTCCTGGGGACCCTCGGGGGAGGGAGAAGCCAGGGAGGAAGGGGCTGTGTCAGTGAAGGATCTTCCATAAATCCCAACACAGAGCAGACAGAGCAGATTAGCATGCAGTATCATCCCCGTTGGTTCGGTCATTGTGCTTTGTCCCATCACACCAGGAGGACAAGGCTGCTTGAGGTGGAGAGGCAGGCAGTTCTTGGAGAGTGTAATTAAGGTGCCAGACCCGGGGGATGGGGCTGCGGGGGGGTGGGGGTGGGGGGGTCCTGGCTGCAGCCCTTCAGTGCCCAGTCTGCCAGTGCTGTGGCCCTGGATGAGAAAACCTTCACCTTCTGGGGCTAAGGGCAGGAGGGGTTGGAAGACCGCCAGGAGAAACTGGCACCGAAGACCCCTCAAACAGCCTGATTTGATCATTCCGGACTCCCCTGATATATGTGAGTGTTTGGGTGGGGGAAGGGCAGGAGGCCAGGAAGGGGCTCCAGGGACCATCTCTGGGTCCTCACAGCTGCTTCCCCAGACCCCCAAATCACACTGGAGCGTGATGTTCCGAGGCACTCAAAGTGCTGATTGCTCTGCTCACACCCCTGCCCATGCCAGGCTATTCCTCCGTGTCCCCTTCCCGCCACCACCACCACCCATCACAGTGAGGGCTAAAGCAACACAGAGTGGGATAAAGAGAAGAAGCAGCTTCAAGCAAGGTAAAGGGAGGCTGTGGGTGAGGCCATGGAGGACAGAGCAGGAAAGGTGTCTAGGAGGCACTTCAGAGACATCTTATACCTTCTGAGAAAAATTTAACTGAATTTGGATGAAAAAAATGACAACAACCAAACCTCAGTATGCCACCTGGAATTTTCCCTTGCTCTACCCCACCTTGATCCTATGTCAGGTTTGTTTTACAAAACAAAGCACAGACTGGGAAGGAGTCTATGTTATTCACACACATACACTCTCTCTCTCTCTCTCTCTCTCTCTCTCTCTCTCTCTCTCTCTCTTTCCCTCTCTCATTTAAAATGTGCAGATAACTGGTGGAGAGATGGGTGTTCAATCATTGTATGACTGAAACTCTAACATGAAAGCTTTGTGACTGTATCCTATATCTCACGGTGGTTCAATTAAAAAAAATAAAATAAAACGTGCAGATAATTGGTCCAGCAAGGGCCGTGTCCATTCCCCTCCCCCCATACCCCCATCCTTTTTTTTTTTTTAATTTTATTGGATCACCGTGAGAAAGTTACAAGCTTTCATGTTTGGTTTACAATCACACAATGATCAAACACCCATCCCCCCACCAGTGCACATTCCTCACCACCAATCTCCCCAGTATAACCCTTTTCCCCACCCTCCCCCTGCCTCCATGGCAGACAGTATTCCCCACACTCTCCCTCTACTTTTGGGCATTATGGTTTGCACTACAGACACTGAGAGGTCATCATGCTTGGTCCATTATCTACTTTCGGCACACATCTCCCATTCTGACTGATTCCTCCAGCCATCATTTTCTTAGTGATCCCTTCTCTATTCCAGATGCCTTCTCCCCTTTGCTCATGAGGCAGGCTTCCAGCTATGGGGCAATTCTCCTGGCCATTGTGTCTACTGTCCTTGGGTGTCAGCCTCTTGTTATATTATTCTATACTCCACAAATGAGTGCAGTCCTTCTATGTTTGTCCCTCTCTTTCTGACTCATTTCACTTAGCATGATGCTTTCTATGTCTATCCACGTTTTTTTTTTAATTTTTATTAGTGAAACACCATGAGGTACAGTTGTAGACTTACAAATTTTTGTTCTTGGGTTTCAGTTATACAGTGATTGAGTACCCATTCCTCCACTAGTGCCCATTCTCCACCACCACTAATCCCGGTATCCCTCCCACCCCCATCTCCCCATCCCACCCTGCCTCTGTGGCAGGGCATTTCCTTTTGTTCTCTCTCTCCCTTGGGGTGCTGTGATTTGCAAAAGAGGAATTGAGTGGCAATCATGTTCGGTCTATAGTCTACTTTCAGCATCCATCTCCCATCCTGGGTGGATCCTCCCTCCATCCTTGTTGAGGAGGCTGTGCCTTTGGCTCTACCCAGGTCACTAATCCCCTGAGCTGAGCTCACTGTCAACTTACCTGGTATAGAGGATGAGTCCTCGTAATTCCACACCAGGAGCAAGAAGCCAGTGAGCAGCAGGATGGGCATGGTGGCCACGGGCATGGTTCCAGGCACCACGCTGGTGATGTTGTACTGCATCGGGTTGAGCATCTCCAAGACCATCTTGTGGGCCTCGCTCTCAGCGGGAGGAGCGTGGAGTCCTGTGGGAAGCGAAGGGCACAGGGATGAGAGAAGTCCCTCAGTGACGAGACCTTCCGAGGGTGCGGGGCGGGGACGTCCAGTGCCCCGTTTTTATAGTAAGCGCAGGCATGGAGGCAAGGCAAGTTTGTGGTTATGAGTCAAAACAAGCCAGTTCAAGCGGGATCCTTGGGTGAGAAGTGCGGCATTTCTGACCTTGGTCAAGCCCCATGTTTCCTCAGGCGCTTGGTCTGATAGGACCTTATCATCATGCCCTTGAGTGGGTAGGGTGACTGAATTCCCAATTGGGAGCCAAATTTCTTACCAAAAGTACGGGAAACCGAAGCTCACTGCAGAGGTGGAGTCCTTGGGTGATTTCATCGGCACATTTTGTTTAGGCAAACTCACTTCCCTGAAGCCAGACCAATGAGAAAACGAAACAAGACCATAGCCCCCTCACCTGGCTTCCTTGCTCCAAGTTCCTCCCCGCCCCCCCCATCCTCCCCCCACTGTGGTAACCTCTCCAGAAAGAGGCTTCTCCGAGGGCACCAGCGGTGCCATTCTCGGAGCTGCCCATGAGGCTGTGACTCACTCAGGACCCTGTTTTCCTACAGGGCTTGGAACTGAGACTCAAAACCCTTTTCTACCACAGCCAGGTTAAGCAGCACCATGGAAAAGAAGGCGGGCGAGGCCAGGCATCGTTCACCTACCACAGAAGGTAGGAGAGTGAGGTGGAGGGAGAGGATGAAGGGAAGGAAGGGAAGGCACTGAGCAGAGGACCAGCAGCTACCGGCTCTGGGGCTGCTGCTGCAGAAGCCACCTCCAGGGCAGAGCCATTTCAGTGTCATCTGCTGGTTCTTGCTGGGGTTCCCCCCGCCCCCAGAGTGCATGACATGGAGCTTGGCTTATGGGTCAGGTTTTACAGTATCTAGGGTGCTGAGAGACGAGTGCCAGGGAAGGCGATTTGTGAAAGAGATGGAGCTGGGAACAACCTGTAGTCACTTTGGGGGTACCCCGTTCCCCCACACCACTGTTGGATAACATTGGTTGGAGCTTTCTCCCCCGCCACAGGGCATTTAGGTTTATTGTGTAACACCCTTTACAGTGCTCCTGAGGCACTCTCATGCCTCTCTGTTTATCTTTAACCTCTCCCTCCCCCCCCATCTGTTATCACTTACATTAGCAAATCAGAGCCTCTGACTTGTAAAATCAGATTCTTCTGAGGACTTTGGATTGTGTATATGCATGTGAAATGTGAAATGATGCTTTTCTCTTTCCTTGATGTCCTTTGCATAGTTTAGAGCAATTGGATAGACACAGGAAGACAGTTAATACTATGCTTTTGTTACTTGAGAGTTAATCAAGCCCGAATAATATTGACGGGCTTCTGAGCACAGCGGGTAGGGCGTTCGCCTTACAAGCGGCCAACATGGCCGACCCGAGTTCGATTCCTCCGCCCCTCTCAGAGAGCCCGGCAAGCTACGAGAGTATTCGATATGCCAGACACAGTAACAACAAAGTCTCCAATGGAGATGTTACTGGGCCCGCTCGAGCAAATCGACGATCAACGGGAGGGCCTTTACGTTTACGTTTACGTTTTCTGTCATATTTACTCGACCTAAGCCTCAGTTGCCCTTAGTTTCTAACACCACAAAAGGAGGGTCCTGACAAGGGACTAGATAGACCCGGAGCAAGCCATAACCTACTCTGGCGTCAGAAAGGGACAGGCTAGGCATCATAAAAAATATAAGTTAAGAGCATGGTCATGGGACAAACTTTGTCATGACCCAAAAAGAAGTAACTGGATAAGGACCCTGCTGGGGTCAGGAAAGACTAACCTGGCCTGAGGACTGTAGTCTAGGATCTATAGTGAGGTATCCCCAGGAGAGGCGCTCTTTAAGCTTAATATATCTCTTACTGTGTCCATACAAAATGACTAGGAATATTAAGAAAAAAATTTTAGATGGCTGTTTAAACAAATTTTTTTTTTTTTGCTTTTTGGGTCACACCTGGCAATGCCCAGGGATTACTCCTGCCTCATGCACTCAGGAATCGCTCCTGGCAGTGCTCAGGGGACCATATGGGATGCTGGGAATCAAACCCAGGTCAGCTGCGTGCAAAGCAAATGCCCTACCAGCTGTGCTATCGCTCCAGCCCCTGTTTAAACAAATTTGGACTAAGGAAAGGAGATATATGCCCTTAGATGGAATTTTGCCCTTGGACACATCTAGCAGATGAGATTTTGTCCTAGAAGACCATCTCCTGAAGGAAGGGCTTTGCATCTGTTCATTGTGCAACCACACCTATGTGTAATTGCTACCTCCGAACCTTCATGATTTCTCTGTAATTAATGCTGTGAGACTGGAATAAATGGTGACTGATTACCATCCAGCCTGGTGGCCTCCATTCCATCCTTCATATGCCCGTCACCATCAGCCGGCAGGATGGGGAGGCGGCTCTTGGCCACTGAATGCATGTGGCGTGCGCCCATACTTTTGAGCTCACATACCAGGATGAGCAGGTGGTAGCTCCCAGGCTTCCCCCCAGATCCCCTACCCCCCACACCCCCCAAGAATACTAGGTTTCCAGGACACGGTGACTTGGAAACAGATGGCGGCCAAACTCTGCTTAGTAAGAAAGCTCTGGATTGATTCTTCACCAGATTCTAATTGGATTTCAGGGACTCTGTGAACTCCCTAGAATGTTCCATAAAATGTTGTCTCCATTCATCTGTATCTTTTTTTTTTTACTTGGGGGGGGGGGTGGGGGGAGGAATGGGGATGGGATGGGAGGGGGAGTGGAGGTGGGGACAAAACTATAATTTCCATCAGATTCTCAAAAACAATACCATGATATTCTCCTTTGCTCTAGGATCTGAAATGTGTCGTTCCAAGCCCCTGTTGGGGGTGCTAGGGTGGGGATAGGATGCCAGGACACAAAACACACTCCAGGCTCCATTGCACTAGTAGGGGCTGGCAGAGGACCCTCTGGGAGAGGCAGAACCAAGCCCTGCACAAGGGCATCCCAGCCTGACCAGTCCCTGCTAGATACTCTCATCCAGCAGGGAGATGATGCAGTGCCTGAAGGCCAGTGCCGAGTCTGCCCCTCCCTCTCATCCTCTCCTTTAGGCTGCCCCCTCCTCCTGGAGAGACACCCCCAGCCACCTGGACGCTCTCCCTGCTGTGCCCTCTGATCTAGGGCCATACTGAATCAGTGTGTGTGTGTGTGTGTGTGTGTGTGTGTAGGAGTGGGGGAGGCTGCCTCTTCCCGCAAGGCAGGTGTGACCCCAGTTCCCAGGTGCTGGCCGACTGAAGCTGAGATTGGGGGGTTAAAGGTCCTTATGGAATGCTTTCCCACAAGTGAGGGGGAGTTTCTAGCCTGGGATGGGTAAGGGCTGCTGGGTAGGCCTTGGGGGCTGGGAGTGTGCATGTCTAGGGAGGGCAAACCCAACTGCAAGCAGAAAGAAGTCTGGGGGGTGGTAGCCACAAGAGGTGGGGGTCGGGGGGAGCAGGACATGGAGGCAAGAGAGGGTGGCAGGTGCCACTGAACCAATCTGTGGGGGTGTTTTCGACAAGGTTAGACTTTGTCGGTCAAGTGACAGAAGGCAGCAGAGGGCTGGGAGCAAAGGCCCAACCATTGTGTCCTCTGAAAAAATTCCTAGTCGCTCCAGCTGCAGCAGTGGGGGAGGTGGGCTCGGGGGTGGGGAGTTCTAACCCCTGGGAACCCGCAGCAAGCACTTGGTACCCTCTGCCTTGGAGTCCTCCTGCCTCAGCCTTTCCGACCTTCAGCCACCCCCTGCCCTGCAGCATTTCTTCCTCTCTGAACCCCAGCTGCCCAGCCACCAACTGCCTCAGTCTCACTCCATACTGATGTGGAAGCAGATGCACGAATCACTCCAGTACTAAAAGAAGCCAAGGGACCCTCCCCCTCTATCCCCACCCCAGCCTTCTGGTTCATTTCCCCAGCTGACCTGAAAATCATGGGCTCTCCAACTTTCCGCTCCTGCCTGTAACCATCCTAAGTACAGCCAGTCTCAAAGTTCGAAGGGTAGACCCTAAAAATGTTTTCTCCTGAAGAGTTCCCTTCCTATGCTTCCTTTACCTTCTGGCCCAAATATTAAATCCAGTCCTTACAATGATTTCCTCAGGCTTTCTTTACAGTTGGGCTCATGTGTTAATTTCCCTTCCCTCCACTCTGTTGATGAGAGCTTATTTTCAGTCCAGTCCAATCACTGAGGGGTGGGGAATTCATCTGCCTTCTAGATTCTTGGCCATTGTGACCCAACATTCCCTGCAGTTTTCAAATGTTGTAGGAATGTCCCCCTGGGGGCTTCTGGGGTTCCCTCCACCTACCCTGGGCAGTTCCAATCCCTGCCGCCATCCTGAAGGCTGTGCCGGAGACAGCCTCGGGGAGACAGAACGTTCCAGGCCTGGGGCCAAACCAAACGTCTATGGTTCGGTGTCAACTCCCATTGGCAGCCTTTACTCGGTATGTGCAGTAAGTGCCCAACCTTCAAGGAACTGTATGCTCGGGCCTCGCCCTATCCTGTCTGCAAATCGCCTCTGCATGGCAAATGCTCTGGGGTCAAGACTCAAATTGATTTGAGTCTATGGACGCAGTCAGGGCCAGGGATGTGGCTCAGCGAGAGAGAACTTCCTTGCTCCCTCTGCAGGGTCAGGACTCCCCACACCCGGTTGGGTAGGAAGCTGGGTCAGCAGTCCGGAGTGTTTTTGTGGTGCACAGCCCCTGCCTCTCCCTCAGAAACTCACACACCAATGGGTATTACCCAAAGAATCTGAGAAAAAAAAGTGTTTTTTTTTAATACTTTTATCTGTAAAGCAAAACAAAATATATCCAGAGTTTATTCAAAAATCAAGAACAAAGTTTCTTTCTGAGGATGTATTTGAGTTTTCTGACACCGGGTAAGAGGATGGGCTATTCATCTGGAAAACCCCACTCCCCCCGCCCCCCAGGCATTATGCAGAGCTTTTCCAGGCCTCCGGACACAACTCCCCTTCTCCTT